ATAAGTGGGATGCCTATCGTAGTGTCTTTACTCAGAGTATCCTCAACTAAAGAGAGCCTTTTCAATAAGCCTTGTTATCTGTCAGTGTTGTGACTATAGCTGGAGGCTGTGACAGCACTGGTGAGGAAACCTCTGCGTCAGCATTATCTGGCTATTCCCATCACCACCACCACCCCCTCCCCCACCGCCCCCAGAGGCATCTCTGGCTAATTTTAGATAAGCGATGTTGTTGGGCCTTTCCGTCCTCATTAAGCTGTTAGGGTTCTAATACACACACACACACACACACACATTAAAATCATACACTTCATGACTAATTTAACGCAGTGGAGTATGTCTGCTGCTGTGCACAGCAACTCGCTGCCTTCAGACACAGTTTGTCTGTGCAGAGAATGAGGCAACAGCTGAGATCAACGTTTTGTCAGTGATAAACACGTTATCTATTCTGTATCCAGCTGAGAGAAGGATAAAACTGAAGCTACATCCTCAATTGGAAGCCATTAGCATTGGCATGTTGACCAGAGGTCATAGAAAGTTAATAACATTCAGCAAATTTGAGTGATTACGGGAAAAACAACCAGTGGTGACATGAAGTGGGTGGTATATGAAGTAAAGGTTTTTGAAATTTCAGACCAGCAACTTCAGTGGCTGCCAAAGAGAGAGTAGGATATTATTGACTGGCATATGGTTATGGTTGTAAGGTTACCAATGCAACTAGAATATCCACGAGCAAGCAGCTGTCAGCTTTAGAACAAGGCAATAAGTGCTTGCAGTGTCAAATCTAAAAACAAACAAATTAAAATGTGTTCCTTCATATCAGAACATGCTGTTATAAGCTCCAGCCTTTTGGAATCAATCCTGTACATTACTGACATCTGGGGGGTGCAGTCAGCTATTGTTGCTGAAAGCGCTGCTTGTTTCATAGTCATAGGAAAGCAGGCTAGCTTAGATTAGTCTCCATTTTAAGGGTTTTAACAATGGCGGAAACAGGGCAATCTGAAAAACCCAGAGTTTTTTTCTGGTGGTTTATGCATGCACACTGTTGATAAACCTCTGATCTTTCTTGGTAAACCGATGCAAGACTAGCATACAAGTCAAGCTGTCTCCAACTCCCTTCCACATGATGTATGGAAACCCAATTTGCATTAGCAAGTAAACAATTGTGATTTATTATGGGAACAGATGAGTTTCAACTTGCTAACCACCTTAGCTAACATGTGTAATTTAGAGAAGATGGAGTGTAAAAATTTTGTTAATTAGTGCAACTTAAGATTAATGATTTGAATCCCCCTGTAGATATTGACAATGGATTTTACAATCAGAACTGCTCCCAAAAAACATAGATGTTTACATCTGCGCTGTAACTGCAATAAGTTAATTAACCGATTCGCACTACAACCTGGTCTGCCTCTTATCTGTGGTTATTTTTATTTAATTTAATAAAAACTGTACAGTACTCTCTGTATATAGTAACCACTGTCTTTAATGTAAATATGTAAGAAAAATTGTGTATGTTTCTGTTCTGTGTCCTGTGTACTGTTTGTTTGTATATTTGTCTTTTTGGCTGCTGTTACAACCAAATTTCCCCTTGTGGGACAATTAAAGGATTATTCTATTCTATTCTATTCTAAACATATCATACCATATCACACACTGCTCAGTGTTTTTGATTAAGCTGGTTTTTCTTTTGTTATTAATATATTTAATATATTACACTTTAAAACAAACAAACAAACAAAAATTAAGATGTAGGCCTATGTCTCATTAATGGGTTTTTTGGGTGTTTTTTATAGAGATATGTGGTCCAGAATATGTTGCTGAACATTTAACAGAATGTTAAGTATTTAAAACAAGCTCAAACTTAAACATATACAACAGTATTATTAATCCATTTAACGGTGCTTGGGAACATTTTTCTGTAGAATAATTATTATTTGATACTTTATGTACAATTTTCCAATAATACAGGTGTATGTTTAATCAGGGTTTTTTTTT